CTTTCTTTATCGAGATAGAGGAACATTTTTTCCGGTTGAAACTTTCAAAATAAAACAGAAGTTCATAGGTATGGACTTTTAAAATTGATCTAATCTTACTGAGGCTTTCTTGTAAACTTAATATGAGCTCGAACATCGGGTATCAGTTCGTTTACTTCTCTCATTAACTTCATTGATACAAAGCAGTTGAAAAGTGAATACTGTCGATAATGTTATTCAAAGAACTATTTAATCGAATGAAGTAATTGATTGATTTCTCGAAAAATTAAATTAAGATATTTATACTAAAATATGGCTTATCTTTAGGATTTGGAGCTGAGAAGTCATAAAAACCTCTGTCTAACATTATTTATGATCTTCTAAAATTTATTTTCTAACTATGTGAAATCGCTTTGTTTCTTTTTTTTTGGAAAAGTCTTTTAAATTAGAAATTATGAAAAAAGTCTTTATAATAGAAGACCATAAGTCCTGTATTGCAGAGACAAGGGTTAGTTTACTGTTCATTTATTACGGTTAAATTTTGTCTATCAATATAGTCAATTGATGTTGTATGTTTAATCAATACATAAGAAGAAAAAAAAAATAAATGAATGTCTATAAGAAAAATACAGAGCATTTGTATTTCGCCTATGTGTACATTTAATGTCATTATTGTTATTTAGGTAATGGCTAAAACGATAAGAATCGATAAAAATATCTTCATATTGAAATTAGATGTGTCTTTTTTTTTTTTTTTTTTTTATTGTTATTGAAAACAAAAAATGAGAAGAACTGTATTGATTTTATTTACTTGTAATTCATGTTCTGCATTCTCTTTTGCATCAAAATAAGGTCTATAAAAATTCAAAAATCAATTTCTTTCTTTTCAATAATTTTTTTTTTTTGTCTCTTTATACTTTGATTTAACAATTGATCTTTTTAATGATCGCTGAAGTGTAACACGTTTTTGTTCATATTCTTGATAAAGTTTTGATTTTTCTTCATGTGTTCGTTCACTACGTGTTTTATCTTGTTCAGCTTGCATAACCTTTATTATATCAAATAATTAATCTAATATATATTTCAAATAATTTTTTTTTGTTTTTACTTTCATTGTTGCATGATTAACATATTCTTGCCATGCAGCATCAAATTCACGTTTATCTGCTTTTAATAATTTACTTTCAGCTAAACTTAATGTTTCTTTTGCAACACGATATATTTCAACAGAACGTTGATATTCTTGTGCAGCTTTTTGTGTTTCTGATTGAGCCTAAATATACAAATATCATATTATATCTATTTAAATATATGTTTTAACATTAATTTACTTCTTCAGCTTGTTTACATGCATCATAAAAAGGTCTTGCACGTTCTACACAACTACCGAGATCTTTTGCAAGAACAGCTAAACGTTGTTTACAATTATTAAAACTTGTTTGAAATAATTGTTGAGCTTCCTGAAATATTAATTGTGAATTTTATTCGAAAAGAAAAAAACATAAAAGAAATTGACTTACATCTAATTGTGTTTCAAGATTATTTATTTCACTTGTTGCAGCATTAGCACGTTCTAATTCAATCTATTATAAATAATAGTTTTCTTTTAATTTTGAATAAATTTTTTTTTTTATTGTATTTTACTTGTATTCGAGGATCAAGTGGTTCATCATTAGTTTCATCTGATTTTTCAACTATGTCATTTATTAAACTATCTTTTGTATGATGATGATGATTATCATCGTTTTCAAGAGATTTTGATGAAATCGATAAGAACGACATATAGAATATTTTGAAATAGAAACAGACAAACAACGTATCAGTTGTTTTTTTTTTATCTAATTAAACATAATCTAAAAAATATAAAATAGTTCATGATTTGTTAAGAAAAACAAGTTAAATATAAAGATGTTATATTTATTAAACAATAGACCATTGCCATTGATTGATTGGTATTTTTTCCAATAAATGATTCTAAAATAACATTAATTTGATAGGAAATATTCTCCTTGTTCGAATTATATAACTTATGTTTAATTAGACACAGTTTGAGACGAAACAAAGATATGCTAAAAATAGCTCTGCACTCTTTGCACATTTTACAATAGTGACACAAAATATCAAGTATTATATCTCTTCTTTAAACACGTGTTAGAAAGATAATTTTTGTTTTTGTCAGGTGTTCACCAAGAAAATGACGCGAAAGGAAGAAGAAATATTTATGTAAGGTAGTTCTAGTCTTTTCATTAACTTATTGGAGAAATTAATAATTTAGTTTTATTGAAAGAAAAAGCTTATGGGTACTCGATATGTTGTACTATTATTTGACCTGCACAAATAAGTTTAAAATCTATCTAATAGAAAATAAAACATAATGAATTAAGGATAACTTAAGAAATCTTTCACACCATCTCCGGTAAACTTGAAGAACAGCTTGTTTCCTGAGTTGCAACAAGTTTAATAAAAATTGAAATTCTTCTTTACAAATAATTATTAGACACTATTTTCCGTAGCTATTTTTTTCAGCTTCATGCCATTCGAGTTACAACCGTTTTACTGAATTTTCGATTCAAATTCAAATATTTATCGAAAATTCAGTAAAACGGTCATCATTTGGTTCAAGAGACCCTTGGATACGAACTCTTCTATAATCTTCTAGTTTTATCGAGATCTCCTTGTGAACATACTCCAAAAATGCATTGCTTCCTTGAACTGGAGTTTTCTTTTTATATATCTTGACGAAAATCAGTGGTACATTACATATTGAAACCAAATTTAGACAGTCAAAAGACTTTCTAGTATATGTAGAAGAAAATTTCAACTAGATCGGATACACTAGATTTGAAAACAGGGTAATTCTAGCTATATGTTACTTATCGAAACATGTCCAGTAGATAAAGGACACATTGAAACCTATATAAAGCAGCAAAAAAACCAAAACAATGAAAAATTTTCAATCGGGAAAGGAGAAGTGTTGTCTTAAGTTGAAATTCCGACATTTTTATGAAAATATGCTTGATAAAGTTTTTTATTTATTTCTATTCTAAGAATATAAATTCATTCATTTTATTAAAAGAAAAATCAGCTTTCAATAATTTATTAAGTGACATGCAGAACTCACTTTCATCATAAATGAAATAACATAAAAATGTCAATTTGTATGTGCTCTTCATACAAGTATTCCGGAAGATAATTTTTCTTTTTATCAGCTAATAGGAAATGTTCTTTCTCTTTTTTTCTTTATGGTCGTGTGTAAAATGATATGAGAAGAGATATAACTACAAAATGAGTTTGCAATTTTCCGTAACGTGTCAAAACAAAATACTAATAGCAATATCTCTTCGATAAATACATTTAGAAATAAGATTTTTTTTTTTTTTTGTCAGTTTATAGGCTTTTTTTTCTCTGTCGAAGTTTATATAATTTATTTTTAGCACGCATGCATTCATAAAAGGTTGCGAGAAGTAAAAACACTTACATAATAATTTAATGGTTTTAATATCGATTCGTTACAATGTATTCTATCGTTCTAGATAATTTCATTAAAATAGAATCAACTAATATCTTACGGGAACTTCTGATAAGGTCGAAAACAGTAAACTAACTATCATCTCTAAAGTTTTCTTTTTTTTTTGTACGAGTCTATATAATAATCTTTATTTTATTCTAAACAAAAAAAAAAATTGTCAACAATTTGTGTCATGACTATTACATCGTATATTATTTACCTGTATAATTGTTCTTCTGTAGTTTAATTACAATGGAATCCATATTCAAGCCGAACAATATTGGATTTCTATATTCTAAAGAATATTTTTACGTTATGATAACATAATATTGTTGGCATGTTTGGATATGGCTTGATTCATATCTTTTTAACATTACGTACAATTTTACGATAAAGAAAGTTTTAATATCTATTGCAAATAAATAAAAATAAGGAACTGATGATGATAATTACGCATGTTGTTAAATCTATGTATGATAGACATTAGAAACAATTATTCTTATCAAATTGTTTGTCTAAATAAACAACATTCAATGTAAAATCAAACTGAAATTAACAAAAATACAAAACACTTTTTCAGTACTTTAACAAATCATGAAGGCAAATCATTAAATAAGTCACAGCGTTATGATCGATAATTGATTTTTTAATAAATCAATATTATGATTCTTATCTACTTACTCATACTAATAAAACAACAAGAACAAAATATAATTGAGGATTGGTACGAATTTCGATGAATCACGAATGATGTACTTACTCAATATTGTAATTATATGAAAATTTAATATTTAAAAAGTCTAAATGAGAATCTTTTTTTATTATATTCTACTTGCTGATGAAAATAGTTGGTGATAAATCTGGTCATTTCTTTTGTTTTTTAAGGATTCTTTTTTTCATGCGATCATTAAAGTAATGAAAAAATGTAATAAAGATGGCGTTGTATTATTCAATAGTTTTAGATGTTTTTCCGATCTCAAACAATTATTGAAATTCGAAGAAAATGTAAAATTTTAATCAAAATTGATAGATCTGATTCATGACTATTGCAAATAATTTTTAAAAAGCTAGATTATTTAGTATCTTATTAGTAGATGTCGTTGTCTACTAGAATTTAAAACATAGTCACTCTCACTAAATACTACAAAATATTTAGGTTAAATATACCTTGACGAGATAAATATAACTTTATATATTCTAGCTATTATTTTCTATAAAATGAACAGAAATAAATAATAAATATCAACCAAACGAGCAACAAAAAAATAAACCATTAAGATCAAGTTTCACCAAAAAAGTTTTGAAGAACAAGAATACATCATGAGAGAATTAATTCATTTACTTCTAGAATATCTAATTGAGATAACAATCAGTTCTAAAGTTCTTTAAAATGGTTTTGGCAATTATGCAGTGATCAAGCATTTTTCTACACTATATTTCATCATATATATCATAGTGTCGAACAAATACATTCAAAAAAAAATTTTTTCTTTTTAAATTTATTAGTAAATGTTTATAAAATGACACAGCATCCTTTTTCGGCTACATGACATTGCGGACAAAACCCATATCCTGGTCCACGTGGAGTATAACATTGTAAACAAATAATTTTTTGACATCGATAACATTTATGATCACCGACAATTGTTGGATGATATGCACATGTTAATACATTGACATTATCTGATGCTGCTTGATAGGCAGTTGAACTTGGAATATTCATTACTGATTTCAAAATTTTTCTAATATTAACTGAGTGTTTATGATCTTTTACGTTAAAATATATATAACAAGAATTCATCGAAAGATAAGAACAAAAGAATACATGACTCAATATTGTGTGTAGATTATGAAATTTGTTCTATTTATTCTTGACCAAATACATTTTGATATCGTATGCTAGAATTATAGAAGACTCAATCAGATTAGATATAGATTAGCATTATATCAAAAATAAGTAAAAAGAAAAAAAGCGAAATAAGAACAAAGATAATACATATGAGATTCACACTTTCTAGAAACAACATGATCTTGAAAATAGTTTGCAAATATGTTTTATTATTATTATGGTAAGTGTATCTATATTAGAAATGTAGAATTAATTAAAGCTTTACATGTTTTAAGATAAAATTATCTTATTTTAATGACATCTAGTAAAGTATTGAAGATATTTTTCAAGCACATTGCACAAAAATTGAACAACAATGACAGGAATCATCAAGAAAAGTCTTTTATATTGATAAGTTCTTTACCAGTTAATAGAATTAAATCAACAACAGAGAATATCATAGTATGCATTGTTTCGTCCTTGTAGGACGTTTTTTTTTTGTTGCATTCTGACAAGGATAAAAACTTGTCGATAGATGATTTACGATGTAAAAAATCATTTACGATATTATCATTCTAATAAATCTCATCATATATTCTCTAGTAGAAATACTATGAACAATAAAAAAGACAACATTTAACAATCATAGAGTGAACAAAACTTAAAGATGCAGAATTCAAAATGTAAACAATGTAAACTGATGGACAATAAGACAAGATAAGTTTTATTTTTATTGTTTGTTTTTTTTGGAATTTATCGTATGAACGAATAAATAATATGTTGTCGATTTGACTTGAAGATAAACATGTTCGTCATTGAGTAAATATTCTTTCTGCCGACACAGTAGTTACTAGTATGACATATACTCTTGTGACTACCATTCATACTAATAGAAAATTATAATGAACTTCACTGACAGACGAGAGCTTAATTTCATCACGATTCATGAGGTAACTTGAGAGTCCTGTATATCTGATGTCCTTCATTGGAAAGAAAGAGATTTTCGTTCAACATGATCAAATTATTAAAAAATTTGTATGTTTATTATGAAGATTAAGATATCTTTTTAGAAGTTTTCTTCCTCATTAGAAAACATCTCAATAGATTGAATCATCGCTTGACAAACAAGTAAACATACATAAAATTTAAGTTTCTTACTAACACTTCAATTCAGTTTTTGCAAAGTATTGAATTGTGATATGAAAACAAATCGATAATGTTTGGTTATTTTTATTTCTGCAGATGAATGAAGCACAAGTTTTGTAGGATTAAAATGCCAGTAATTTATTGAGGAGTGTGGGTGTTGACGGATATGTCTGTGAATATTCTCTTCTTCTTCAGACCAGTTCAAAACATATTATAAGTAAGTGTATGTATTGATAAATCTAAAACTTGATGTTAGGCAAATATGATTGCCGCATCGAGTCATCTGTTTTTTTTAATTTTATTTTTTAACGTATCTTTCTGAGCTGCTTGTGTTCTTGTCATTGACATAGATAAGACAAAATTGAAAAGAAAGATTAGATGTAACGTCCGAAACGAATAACTCGTTTATGTACGCTGTTCTTGAAGTGCTTACTAATAATTTTCATAATGGCTCATGCATATTTCTCAAGCATTACGAGTAAATAGTCGATATCTGCTCGACGCATTAGAATCCATGAAAAAGCATTATCTTTGGGTGATAATTTCAAAATCTACGGTAAAACAGATACAGAAGTATTTGAAGTTCGATCAAAAGTATTGACAATACATGGTTCAAACAGTATCCTTACAGATATATCAGGAATGTAAGTTGATCCTGAGTCACAAGAATCGCAGAGTCAAGTTTCGGACAGTCTTGAGAATATACTGTTTTGTTTTCTTTAATAGTCTCCCCCATCAAAATTCGTGGGAAATCATTGTCTCACAGCAAATACAAGCTATTATCAGTTCATAGTGGTTAAGATGAACAACAACTTGCTATGGTTAATCTGAAGTCTCGTGAGAAAGACACTCTTAAGATTGAGCCAAGTTTTGGAGTACTCCAATTGGGGCAACGAGATGCACGCACACGTTCGTTCATTCTCAACAAATATGATGGCATGCTATTGGCTACAGTGAATAAAAGTTTCTTGTCAAAGACGAATATAAAAGACAATGAGAAGAAGTCAGATGCATTCCTTTTAGCTTTGGTGATTGTTTTAGATTGTACATTGGAGTCAGACCATTTTCTTTTCTTCACATTATAAGATTAATCATTTTTTTATTTTTAATATACATACATGAAAAAATGTATACCATAATGTCTATCTCCTTGAGAATCATATGAATTCGTGCATAACCACAACGGCCATGACAAATTCATTGTCTGATTTCTGATATTGTCTATTCAAAGTTTATAAAAGAGTAAGCGGATTTATGACGTCATCCTGGTAATCACGAACGTATCCTAGTATGCAGACGATATTGAATGTTCCATTGCTAAGACTCGAGATCTGATATTACTAGGTTGAACATGTAACCTAGAGTGTTCATGTACTATATATAACAGTTAGTTCTATGGCATCACGCACAACGAAAGCAAAGAATGAATCAAAACAAGACAAGAATAGTGCCTTCGAGTGAACGTAAGCAAAAAAACGATTTTCCGTAATGTCACTATGAATCTGTCATTTCAAAAGATATTTTAAAATAGTATCTCCATGAACAGTGTTGCGTGAATGTTATTCTTCATGATAACGCTTTCCCATTTTGACAATATTAAAGTATAAGAGTTTTCCTTCAGTTTTTCAGAGACCAATCAGCGAAATTCCACAATCACTTCACAGTGGGTGAACATGAAATTCTAGCTCTTTTTACTGCAGTTAGACAAAGAACTTTTGTCACTTCGATGTACATTATTTCTTACTAGATCTGGTGTGAAAAAAGATGCAATTTCGTCTATACAATTATTATTTTCTATTATCTCTTCTTTTTGAAAGTCTTTTAAACATCATATTTTTGTCCCTATAATCATTTCATTTGTAATCTAAAAAGACTAAAATTATGCAAATCTTCTTTCTCAATGAAGTCAAGGAATAAATTCTACGCAAAGTTGTATGTTTCTTCACAGCTCAAACTCCTTGATCAGCCAGGTATCGATTCTACCACTGTATGTTCTCACAGCACCAAAAAAATAGAAAAAATTTGCTAGCTGCAGTTTCTTTGTTTAATAATATCATCGTGTTGAATTTAGTGTTTCTTGGCCGATTGTATATGATATTTTTACTAGAATAAGACATGACTGTTGTTCGTTGTTAACTTCAAATCCTTAGTTTTCTTTCATGAAAGAAATGGACTTAGTTGGATCCATACTTTGATAAGAGCATATCATGTATACAGAGTTGTGAATTCTCGATAGAGCTTTCAACCACCGGATCAACTTTTTGTGTTCTTCTTCAGAGAGACGGATAAATTTTCAGATAAGAAAAATCGCATATTTAAAATCAATATAATTAATCACCCCGATGTTCATTGAAATGTCGAGAGGATAGTTGCTTCCTTCTATCGCGTAATCCATGGCATATCAGCCACTCTGCTATACATCAAGTATTTCTCTTTTTTTTTTCTTACTTGCTACCGTTCATATCGTCGATTAATGTATCTGATCTAGCAAATATTCGCACATCATAGAATATGATCATATACATATTTGTCATATTTATATATGAATAAATTTAGGTTTATTCATTGAAAATATTTACGTCTAATTCTTAAACGAGCAAAACAAGTAACGAAAAAAAACGATGATATGAAAAAGCATTCAGCTTTTATTAATATAAAAATGTTTGATCATTTTCAAAGGTCAATTGTATTATTGAATTAATGAATCAAATTTAATGTCACATGAAAAGATTAGATGTGATAACGAGCAGTATAAACATCATAGAAAAATATATTGAACACATATTCGTTTAATAAAAAAAAAATGATGAAAACTCGGTAAAAATCGACTTTTGTTAAGCACTCACAAGTCTTTATGATAGAAAAATATAACATGATATCGTTGTTTGTATAGATTCAAATATTTTGTGCCATACACCAATGCGTTAAAAGATAACCACTGCCTGAGCGTCATCGGATGGCATGATACATACAAGTATGATGCTCTGCAGACTTTTCAGAACTTTTCTAACCTATCTATGTGGGATATAGGTGGATGTTGGTGTGTATCTTCTTTTCTCGTAGCCATACTCATTCTGACACACTCATATCCTTGATAGCATTTAAAGATATCATTGCAAAGCAATCTTATGGCTTTATTCTCGAGCAAGACAGTTCTGTGTTATTCCTTATTATATTATTTTTTTCTTGCTGAATGAAATAATTCTCTCTGTTGGATTAAGTTGCACTCTGTTAACCTAGCTGAGGCATGCATAACTCACTTGGAGAAACCATGTTGCTAAAAGTATTCAATTGTATCCCTTGTAAGATAATTTTGTCTTACCATTGGTAAATATATAACTTTAACTGTTTCTCAACGTAACTAGTTGAAACTCATGTAAAATGCTTAGAAATCAGCTACAGCCAAACTATTTACTTATTTTGCTTCTGTATCAGTCACGTCGTCACTATAGTCAGATTTGTTATGTGATAGTCTCTCAATAGAACGAGACTGTCGAGTTTTGTTGACTATGTCATGAAAATATTCATGATAATCTTCATTGAATATGTTGCTTGACATAATTATCGATTTATAGATTAAAGCGCTGTTTCTCATACCTTTAAATAATTACGAGCTATCAGATGTTGTTCGCGATCAGCCTTATCGTTACAATACTCTGGATAGTGGGTAGTGCTCCACAATACAATCTTTACTATACTAGTCGAATGAATATGAGCGGAGCCAATTTGTATCACGATTGTCTTTACTA